TTACATATAATCAGTTTAGTTGAACATGCCGAATCGATATCTTTTTTTGATGTCTCTTTCTCTTAGATCATTCTTTGAATAGTCTCGTTTGAGAAAACGTTAAGAGATGGGTTGATGATTGACATCACACAGAACTCAGACAACTAGATCTGAAAATCTTTTTGTGTTGAGATTCAGAAGTAAATGTTACTGATTTGAATTAAAGAAGAAAAAAAAGATAGACATGTTCAAGACTAAACTCAAACTTGCTTTTCAATATGTATTGTAACGAGTTCCTCATGCCGGAGTATGTAACAAATTTTATATTAATGTAAGGCTATGAAATGGAAAAGAATTGAAGCACGTTGGTTTGTTTGTCAATAGAAATAGAGTAGATATTTCTATTTATTTTAAGTATCCGGATACATTTATAACAATACTTGCAGTGTATGAGTTTATCTTGTTTTTGTTTATTCTGGTTAAACAACACTCTTATAAACAACAAGAACAGATATTTCCATGGAGTATATATATATTGATTCATTAAACTTCTTGGTTAAATTATAAAATGTTTTGACTTTAGTATTCAAGTGAAAACAGAACAAGTTTTTAATTTTTTTTGTTATTTATTTCGTAATGAAACTCCAAAAAAGCGAACTAAAAACGAAAGTGCTATTCCTTCGACGACATATTATCATTATTTTTCGATCAAGCAGTGATTAATTTGTTCAATTGAATACTCTCAATACATCTGCTTAATCTAAATATCAGTACTCAAATTCATTGTAGCATATCTATACACATGAATGAACAAGACGATCATTTCCACATTCATTGTGATAAATAATTGATATGGAATTTATATTCAAGACAATGAGAAAATCTTTAGAAAAAATCCAGATTTATTTTAAACACTTGCATGTCACATATTACTGAAGTGGAAACGAGCTTTGTTTGCACGGTTATTAATAGTATGAATCGTGTTAGGTTCAATGAAAGTATGACTACATCTGTCTGAGAAAGACAGATAAGATCGTTTTGCACTTTCTAAACATCACTAAATACTCTGTGATACAGACATAAAAATAACTTAATGCTTAAAGCTTTTACGATTAGTGATGACAGTCATATTACTAGACTTGCAAATTTAAGCAACATTTTCTTCTTTGTGATCGTTCTCAGTATGTTTTTATTCATTGTTTGATTATTTTTTAATAAAATATTGTATCGTACATTCCTTCGTATTATTTTCCAGTAAATCAGAAGTAGATTACCGATCAGGGAACAATTATCAGTATACTGCACTAGAATAGCCGTCATAGAATAGTCTATCATTTATTTATGAAATTACTGATGGTTGATTGCCAACATAGAGTACATTGTACCGACTAGTCTACCTGCAGTTTTTCTTTTGCTTTAAGTCACAAAATCTTATGTAATATAAATCACCATCATCAGTTTTATAATTATTAATTATTCAATGCACAACAGCATGAATCACATTTACTTATTAACAATTTCTATCTTGAAGAACTCTTCTGGACTATTTTAGAATAATTCACAAAATCGTATGTCTCGAAAGATAGAAAACTCATGTTTACAAATCTCTTAAGTTTCCTACTTATTTTTGTAATGTGACGTAGAAAAAAAAGAAGAAAAAAAAAGAATCACAAGAGAATAGTTGTGTTGACATGCACACTACATTTTTTTCATCTCGTCATTCCACTCATAATAATAATCTAGCCATTAGGGAGATAAGAAAAAAAAGAGTGTCTCATTCTCTGTTTATGTGGTAAAAGAAAAAAGAAAAAAAAAAGAAGACGACAATGTCTATGCATTATGACGTAAAATTACTCCATCAGAGTGTTTATCTTAATGACTACATATGATCTATTTATCTACTTTTTTCTTTCTTAAATGTTCCTGATTTTTTTTAAAGTACAAAATGGTTTAAACAATCATTAAAGATAATGAAAACAAATTTAACATGAATGGTAGTGTTTTTATATGCATATCACTGAAATCTTCAACAAAAGTAATCAAATTCTTCTTAGAAAATTTCTCTAATTTTAAGTCCAACTAGCGGAACATTGATTTTGATAAAATCCACAGAACAAAAAATGTTCTCTTTTTAAAGTACCTAAATTTAAACTTAACGATAAGATGAAGTGTTTTTTTTATATACTACTGACGTCACGAAGTCAGGTGATCATAATATTTCAATTGAAGCAAATATATATAGTATTATTTCTCATGTGAATTCTTTGCGAACACAAATATTACAAAAATCCTATTTCTCTATTATGTTTAATCAAATAAGAATATTATTTTGAGTTACATTTGTTTATTTAGAACCGTAATAACGAGAACAATAAAAAACTTGCTATAATTTTCTTTATTGTTCTTTAATATTTTTTATCATGAATTTTGTCTCGCCCTACTTTTTTTCATTTCTATGATGGTTTTTGTATATAATTACATTACCCACTTGTCCTTGTTTCAGATTATTCACACATCATCATAATCTAATTATGTCTCCCAATGGTGAAATAGACCGTCACACTTGTACATCTGAAAATTCTGTAGAATCCACAGTTAATATAGCTGATCGTTTATATTTATTTATTAATGGACAATGGTATGATCTTACTCAATGGCAACATACACATCCAGGTGGTTCAGAAATTCTTGAAAATTTAAATGGAAGAGATGCTACTGATGCATTCTATTCTCTTCACAGTAAAGAAGCTCTTAAAAGACTTTCTTGTTTAAAACCATGTTCATCTCTTCATATTCAATCTATATTACCAATTATTGAACCAACTAATCTTACATTATCATTTCGACAATTACGAGAAAATTTAATTAATAATGGATATTTTAATCGATCAATATTTTGGGAATTATTTTATCATTTATCAGTTTATTTTTTATGTTTATTTGGTACATTTTGTTATTTTTATTGGGGTTATAATATTCTCGCTATTCTTATTATTGGTTTTGGCATGCAACAAGCTGGATGGATTGGACATGATTATGCACATGGACGAGGTACATGGATGCGATGGCTTTGTCGAACATTAAGTGGTTCTATCAATGCTTTTAGTCCAACTTGGTGGTCACATAAACATAATACACATCATATATATACTAATCATATTGGTATTGATACTGATGTAGCTAATGATCCAATATTTCATTTATTTTTTCCTTCGAACAACAAGGATGTATGGTTTCGAGCTTATCAACATTGGTATTTTATACCTGTATATTCATTATTATATTTAAGTTGGAGATGGCAATCATTTCAACATTCATTTAATACATACAAATATTTTGAACTTAGTTTAATGTTACCAAATTATATATGGCTTTATATGCTTGGTTGGCAAGTAGCATTAGGTTCAATTCTTGTTGGTGGTTTTCTTGTTGCTTGTATTGTTACAGCAACACATCAAAGTGAAGAAATGTTAATTGATTCACATTATCCATTTGTTGAAACACAATTTTTAACAACATGTGATGCTTATTGTAATAATATTTTTATGGAATGGTTATGGGGTGGAATGCAATATCAACTTGAACATCATTTATTTCCAACAATGCCAAAATATAATTATGCACGACTAAGACCTATTCTTCAACGATGGACAAAAGAAAATGGTATTCGATATCGATGTGAAAGTGTTTGGTCAATTTGGCATCGAAATTATCTTACATTAAAACATTTTGCAGGTCGAACAAAAAAAACTTAAGATATAGTATCGAGAGAAAAAAAGATGATCGACTCTTTATTTTATGTAGTTCTTGTCAATAGCAACAATTGCGCGTTTCTTTTTCTGTATGTCATTGATAGATATAATTTGAGTATTATTTTTAGTCATTTAAATAATTAAAGAAGATGTATTTATTGTGGTTACTGATTGGTAACACTAAAACAGAATGAAGCGATTCGTCTTTATTTTCTAGTGATTGTTTTTGTACACGAATTTTGTTTCTAGAAATTATTATCCATGACTAGAGAAAAATATATTTATAATTTGAGTCTTCAATCAATTCATATAGAGTGGGAATGTGAGTGTGCTTGAAAAGATAAGAAGATCCTCAGCTTACCAGAACCTTGATTTCTTTTTCAATGGATTTCACATGATTCTATCATTCGTTAGAACAGCTAAAAGAATATTTTTATATATTGAGTGATTAGAAATCAAGTGAGTGCCGATAAAAAGTCAGAATAGAAATTATACTTTGGAACAACAATTCCACAATGATTTTTATGCGGATTGTAAGAATGCTATCTTATTTTTTTCCAAATCAATTTTTGCTAATGAAAAAGCTTGCGTCACTCGTTAAACACATTTTGACTGAGTAACTGATAAATATCATTTCTGCTACTTCTGATAGAATGCTTCATTGACTGCTAACTCTTAAACTGCTTTTCTCTATTTATTCGTAGATTATTATTTCTTTTGGGTAGAAGACATGATAAACACGATAGGTTTTACGAGGAACAACAATGATCTCATATAAACGAGATAGATGTGGGCGATCACAATTGCAGTCAGTACATCGCTCTATATGGTACAGTTCAACAACGTTCTTGCTCTTGTATACGTAGCCAGTGTCACTAGGTTGACTAAAACCAAAAGAATATATTATAATAGAAATTGACTATTGAAACAGACCTGCAATAGAATCGATAAATGCAATAACCCAAGACCAATGCTACAAAAATACCCACACCAGATGAGATTCCAATCACAATCCAATTGACAAAAGCTGCTAACAAAAACAAAAAAGAATCAAGTTGTGTCATTATAATAGATAAGAATAGGAACAAACAGTTTTGTGTTGAAGTTGGAGAAGTTGTCCCAACAACTGTAATACAAGCTTCACCAGGGCATGCACATAGACTAGTTTGTACGACATAGACCTTGAAACAATATTGAGATGATTGTAGATTTTGGCTAGACAAAACAAATATTCATACAAGATATTTCTTTGATGATTAGTTGATTTCTTTACCTATCGAATGCCATTGCACATATAACTTGATAACCAAGTTGAGAGTCAGTCGGTGTCCATGAGAGATCAATATAATAGGTAGTTGTATTTACTTGAGTGATGTTTCCTCGTATCATTCCAAGAAAAGCCAATATAGTAATATCCATAATAGTCACACTTGAACCACAATTATTTAAAGCAAATAGCTGTGATATAAATGTTTGACCAGTTACAACTACTATACATGACTCTTCAAGAGATGGTCCAATAATTGTAGGTGGATTAGGACATGACGATTGGTTTACTATCTGTACAAGAAATTGAACAGGTATCGAACTGAGAGGAATTATGCTTGTTGAGTCAATGAAATCTTCGACCTATGCATAAAAGACATTTTTCGATATAAAAAACTGATTACTAACCATAAGTGCCACAGCAAACCAGTTGCCAACAGTTTGATCTATTATCAAAATAGTACAATTAGGATAGATTGTCATGTTTGATGGTAATGAACTGGGTGGACATACACCACCACATTCATCTACTCCATTCGATGTGGTAGACCATCGACAATGGATTATATCTCCGTCGGCATCAGCTACAGGCACATTAATGATTGTTAATTGATTGACAGGAATTAAGATGGGAGACATCATTGTAGCTACCGGAGCATTGTTATACAAACCATTGTCAGACCTTCGATTGACATTTATACGTACAGAGATGGACCAAGGGGCACTACTTGCCGTTGCTAGTGGACGCCAAGCACTTTGCTGAAAAGCAGCTGAAAAATCATCACCTTCTTGCAAAGTAACAATGTCTGAACGTTGACTAATCGTCGTTCCAACAGGCGCTGAAATATCCATACAGTAAGGTCTAATACTGGGTGCCACATAGCCAGTTGAACTAGCGCCACAACTATTGATACAGTCGAGCTTTTGGGTTGTAAGATACTAATAAACTCCGACAGGAATCAATTGATTGCTAGTAATCATGGCAGTAGTACATAATACTAATAAATATCCCCATGAATAAGTTTGAGTAATAATAATATCTACAGATGTTCCTGTAACTGATACATTTATTGGATGCCATGTAATAGTACCGCCGAGAAAATGGGATCCGTTTATTATACCTATGATGCAGAATAATAATACGAGATGAATAATAGATCTCATTGTTAGGCATAAGCTGTCTTGTTAAAATGCAATAAAGTAAAAATCAAAATGGCAAAAAGAGCATTTATATGCATCATAAATTGTTTGTCATGTTAACATTTTCACTTGTACGAGATCAACTAATGGCACAAAGCCAACAAACGAATGATTCTTTCTTGTTTGAGTTAAAATATTACGAAATTCAAAGCGTTTTTGTCCATCATCGCCATCGAACATGACCGCGTGTATTCGCGACTGGTGAATCGGTCTCTTTTCATCTCGGACATGGTAAGAGTGCTTGACACTTAGAAACAACTGAGTTTTAGTTACACACTAGAAACCTAACCATATTAAGTAGACGTACCTGCGACTTTTATTTGGAAGTTTCTCTGGAAACACAAACTTTCGAATTGGTGAGACACTTACTTCATCGACGTTGTCATTATAAGTATGCTCGAAAAAAGAGAATATACAAAGCGATGTATGTGATAAACAGTTCAACCAGCACACACGCTTTTTTCCGGGAGAAAGGTCAAATTGGTTTCAGATGGAAGCCTACAGGCAGCACAACATTGACGCACTATTATATTAATCTCAATAATAATCAAAAAGCGAATTGTGCATGAATTTTTCCATATTTAGAAAGAGTACAGAACTTGAGGTAGATATGAGCATATAAATCAGTGAAATAAATGTGTTGAAAAAAAAACACAATCATACAAATACTGCATGTTTCTATATCTGGCATTTTTTCATTTTTTCGAAGCTACTTAGGACAACCAAAAACTAGTGGTAGAAGTATTTGAATTTCTTATAAAAAGTTGAAAGAAATTTTCTCAGCATATGGTGTGATAGTAAAAGCTATGCTCTATTTTGCTATAACATTTCATCATTCTTCAACTAATAAATATCATAACGGTATTTAATAGTTAAACCATAGAATAGTGACGATTTCAAGGATGGTAACAAATGAAAAGTCAATCTTTTATTTTTTTTTGTTTTAGAGAACTCAAACAATCCATGAAACGACGAAAATAATTCTCAGATTCAAAATCGATGACTCGCTCTATTATTAATTATGAAATGTACAAAACTACACAATCGCACACGATCAACAATATCCAGTTCACTTGAGCTGTTTGAAAATTATTTCAAATACGGTTTCGGCATCCAAGTAATTGTAAAAACTGGTTTCCAATGTAAGCCAAGAACATTCTTGAAGTAGTGCGTGCGTTCTGTCAGTGTCTATGTCCAAAAAAACGTCTACCGAAAAACGGATATGAACATCTGCAATGTGTTGTAGCAAACTTTTAAATAAACGTTGATCAAAAACTATATAATGCTCATTATTGCCCATTCCCCAATATGCTATGCGAAGATTATGAAGAGATGGCACAGAGTAAATCAGTCGTTCAAAATTAGCATAAGACTCTTGCCAGTCGTCAATTCTGAGTTCTGTTAAGTTGTTTTGAAAAAAATTGTAGTCAGAAAAAGTAAAGAGTTCTCTCCATGTTAAACGCTCTAGATGAAGTATACGTAGGTTAGGCATATGACGAAGAATAATAAGAGTCAATGATGCTGATGTTAAGCCAGTTATGTCGAGTTTTTCAATCGAATTGTTGCTGCCAGGAAGGTTTTCTTCAGGCTTCATTGTTAAGACGTTGGTCAGTATACAAACACGAAGATTCTTCATTCGAACAATGGCTGGAAAAAATGATGGATCATTTTTATCGTCGTCGTTTCTTAATAACTGCCTAATAGACAAACGTTTAAGATCGATTAAATATGGAAGGATATCAATTATATGTTCCACATCGTGCTTCTCAATAGTAAGCGATATGGTTACAAGATGAACGAGAACGCGTCCATAACATCGAATAAATCGTACGAGCAGATTGTTAGCACCGTGTGGAGTTTTTAACGAACGAATATTTTGTAATGGTAATATAGACCAGATAAAGTTGTGCATATCCTCACTGCTTATATTTACATGTACACGAAGATGACATGAAGCGAGAATTGAACGAAAATGGTTGTTAAGATCTCCGAAAGCATTAACAAGATCATGAACTTCAAGGTGACGAAAAATTTTCAAAAGAATTTCTACAGGCAGCTGTTCAATTAGCGAAACCATTTTCACAGTTATATTCAAACTTCAATATAAAACGGTAAGAACGAATGATTGTGTGATTTTATGAAAGTTTTGTTTCTTCGATCAAAGAAATACCGCCTGCATATGTCATTGGAAGTACGCAAAAAAATGATTGTCGGTAAATATTGGATCAACTAGCTTACCATGTGCACACCTTAACAAAGTCACAGAAAAAAATGAAATAAGGGATGGTAGTTTTTATAAGCACGTTTATACATACTGTCGTTACTGCCTAACTAATTAATTAATTGTTAGTTATTAGTAAATCTATTCCTAGTTACTGTAAAATATTCTTTGTTTTTTTGGTGACGTATCGGCAGCCCAGGTTACCTTCTACGGACTTTATAGACGACAAATGAAAAATACGAGAACATATCCAAACGCTATTTTTTTTTCTTTTTCTTTTTCTTTTTTCTCCTCTGTTCTGACTATAATTTTATTAGTGAGTCAGAAGAAGGTTATGAGAATAAGTCACTTCTGCCAGTTATCACCGTCTTGCTAGCCCACTATCAAAATCACAGCAAGAACAGAAAAGAAAAAAGAAAAAGATTTACTAACAACTAATCAATTAATTACGACCTTTCTCAACAAAAATGAATTTAGTGTCTAGCAAAGATAAAAATAAGATTTTACGTTTTACATACTCATACTATCAAAGGAATAGCCGTAGGAAGTAAAATCAAACCAGCTGCAATCAGAGTTAAGCTCTATGGGTGCAGTTCTAATCGCTGTTTTTCAATGAAACATCAACACAAGTCTCTCGTTGGTGTCTACATCTAGAAGAAAGAAGACTAATATTCGTTGCATTCTTTTCACAATTTACCTAAAGTACAGGATCTAGATAAAGTAAGACTGGCAAAAGTTTACATATGTTCAAACAATTAAAAAAGTGAGTTTCCAATAATTTCACGCACGCATTCAATCTTTTCAACAGTTGTTGATTTTCAATCTCAAGTCAACGCTACAAGTGACTGTATTTCTCGACAAGGAAAGCAGATCTCCAGTTAGACTCAACAGTTATTTAGTCATTCTTCATCTTGTCTTTCAGTCAAGAATAATATTTATGCTATAGATCTTTCTCTATCTTCGTTTTATTCAAATAGACAGGACTCATCAAATTGAGTATGTGAGCCTAGCTGAACATTGTTAGATTCGAATGCAAGTTGAACTTGACACGAATTTACACAAAAAAAAAAGTCTTTTTCTGAGTTCATTTCGAATTTTCCTACGGTTTTTCGATTTTTAATTTACTCGCGGTCAGTTCAGATCACCACAATCGAAGTTCCATTTAGGTCAACAATATAACAAGAAAAATCTTATCGAGCTTCATCTCAATTTTTTCGTCGACTTATCTAATCGAATTTCGGTTGTTAATAGATACCACTCGATATACTGCAGAAATATATTACTGCAATTATATTCAAGTTTGAATATTGCATACATAATAAGCTGAATCTTCGATAAATCAGGAAAACACAAATGAAACAATTTAACACTGGTAAACTGAGAGATACAAATGTGATGGGTCATGAAAGTAATTGAAACAAAAAATGTCACTGATATTTGAAGTTTGATTATGTTTTTATTAAATGAAAAACATAGAAATAAATAAAATGCGTAATGCATCAAGAGTCAAATGAACGAATTCGAAATTTCATTTCATTTCTATATGAGTTCATGTATTTGTTTTCCTCTTCTTATTTTCTTTTTTGTATCATTTGTTTAGTAGCATGACATTTATATCGAAGAAGACGATAAAGCATTTCAATGAACTTCATTATTGATAAGAAACTAATTCCAATCCATAATCCTGTATGACCACCGACATTTCAAATAATATCAAACGAATATACTGATGCTTCTTGTATATAATTTTCTACTTCAGTTGATTGACATATAACTTCCATATGATGGGGAATTTGAATTTGCGGCAAATTCATTTTCTTTAAAAAAAATGAATTTGCGACAAATTCATTATATAGAGGTAGAGAAGCATCTTGAGGATGAGGAAGGTACCCTTGGGGAACAACAAAGTGAGGGTGAGGAGGGTACCCTTGGGGAACAACAAAGTGAGGGTGAGGAGGGTATCCTTCAGGGGTACCCTAGGGAGGGTACCCTTGGGGTACAACAAAGTGAGGGTGAGGGAGATACAACGGTATAAGGATACTTATACCGCTATACCGCTATACCACTATACCGCTATAGCGATATAAGCGGTATAAGCGGTATAAGCGGTATAGCGGTATAAGCGGTATAAGCGGTATAGCGGTATAAGCGGTATAGCGGTATAAGCAGTATAGCGGTATAAGCGGTATAGCGGTATAAGCGGTATAAGCGGTATAGCGGTATAAGCGGTATAAGAATTTTGAATTTGCCGCAAATTCAAATTCCCCATGAACTCAGAAACTAACGTTTTCTGCTATTTTGTTCAGTCTATCTGCATCTAAACAATTAATTTCACTGTGTTTCGATATATTATACGATCTGTTTTAGTCATCCAGTGTCTGTGCGATGGATTTAAGGAAAATTTACAGCTGACATCCGCGCTCTAATACAA